TTTTTTTAGAACTGAAGTGATCTCCCAAGCTGTAAGTTCATGCAAAACAAATAAATATATAAATAAAACTCACTACAAGGAAATTCATTTCTTGAACAAAACAACTATATTCAAATATTCATGAAAAAACAAACTCATGTAGCACTTTCTGAGAGAATCATCATTTTTTGACTTGTGTTCCATGATTTGTTTAATGATTTGAAATTGGGTGATGACATGTGTGGCTATAAATTAATTAGTTTTAACCCTGAATTGGTGTACAATCTGATGCTCTTACATTTGAGTGAATAATCCATAAAGCTTATTCTCTGTCATGTTATGTGTAATTAGGTTCGTGAAATTTGCACCTTGCTAGTTCTTGTTCAAAATGCTTGCTATTTTCTCACAAGTTTTACTCTTAACAAACTATATTTTTCACAACTGGGGCAGATGATTGTTATAAAAGATTAACATCGTTTAGGTGTTTGCATTAAAGTATTTGGTGAATTACAAAGCCACATGGAATTATTAGGTTTTCTGGCTTTCTTGAATACAAATATTGAGATTTTCTAGGGGCTATTGGCGTCCAACCTAACATTTTTCATAAGCTCTTTACTTCTTTTGTATTTACAATTTTTAGCCTCAATTCGGCTCAATTCCCTATATGAATTTGTGCTTCTTCAGCTATTGTTGGTGATATAACCCCATCAGATGGTGTTCCAAAAGATGAGAAGAGTCGTAGGGAGAGAGAAGCAATTAATCATATGTGCAAATTACTTGGCGGAGGATCTAGAGCCAAAGAAATGCTTGAGCTGTGGATAGAGTATGAAGAAAATTCTTCTCTAGAGGCCAAAGTTGTTAAGGATTTTGATAAGGTTGAAATGATACTTCAAGTATTAGAATATGAGCAAGAACAACGAATGAATTTGGATGAATTTTTCCAGTCTATTCTCCATCTGCAGGGAAGTTTCAGACTGATGTTGGCAGAGCTTGGGCAATGGAAATCAACTCAAGGAGGAAAAAGACAGAATAGCTCTCTACATAACATTTATGGTAAATCTCATAACTTTGGCCGAGAAACTTCAATTATTTTGGTTCATCGAGTATCTTGGGGCGGCTATAACTTTTAGTAAAATTGATTATAAATGAATGTAGGAAATAAAAAATATTCCATAGCAGTTTTTGAAAAAATTATATTTCACGTCTCGGCTCATTGGTGCGGCCTCTGGCGTAAGTCCCTCGGGTCGGGGGTTAGAATCCCGTGGTGCGGGCTTTTCGAATCTAAAAAAAGCACACTTGGGTTTTCAACTCTTTGGGAGAATCGATATTTGGTGCCCACTGGACCAAATATTGATTTCACCTTAATATATATATATATATAAAGCCCAAAAATGAATATATTAATAAAAGGAAGATACTAATAAGTTGAATGAAAGACCCAAATTGACACCCAAATCACCCGACATACAACTCAAACATACGAAATACATGTAACCCAAAAAAAGAACCAATATTAAAAAGTAGACATAGAAATTGTATGCCAAAAGTCTGCCAACTCTCGCAAATTCAGTTAGCTTGCAGATGAGTCAATTTAGCCCTGCCTCTGTCTTTGGTTCTAGGACGAGAGTCAGCTAACAAATTGTTAAGTTTGTTGTCATTACCACAACCAATGTATCATCCATCAAGCTTGGTAGTATGCCTCCATTCTTCTTCTATTCTTCTTCTTCCTGCTGGATATATAAACTTGTCATTTCTCATCCGAAGATTGACTCATCTGCTTAGTGGATTGGTCCAAAGATTGTCGGAAAGGTGTAGGTTGTTGCACATCATGAGTTTCATGTGCTAACTAATAATAACAACTTGCTTTATCTGAGTAGGCGGTAGAAACTCAGTAGAAATATTGTCACCCGTTACATTAAAGTTTGGTTCTAGGGTAGGTGAAGTATGAAATGTCTCCCTTGCCCCTCAAGAAGAGGTTCCATAGGAGGTCCTACACAAGAGCTTTATGTGGCATATTACCCTCGAGGATAGTGGCATCTTCAAGAGTACCCTTCTGATGATCAATAGTGTCAATAACTTGTAGCAGATCAGGAGAAGAAGGAAACACTGCATCTGGCTGAGCACTTTGCTTCTTTGGTCTTAGATGGGGGTGTAAATGATTACATTGAGAAATGGAGTGGCCGAACATACCACAATTCGAGCAATACGAAGGAAAAGATTCAATCAGAACCTTTTGCCAACAACCACGATGTCGTATGACTAACCAAATTTTCTCAGCAGAGATTGAAGTGATGTCCTTCTCAACAAGTATCCTGGCTTCAGAGGGACAAGAAAGATTAAAAGTAGGAATGTTCGTTTTGAGTGGCTTACCATAGACTGAGGCAATAGATTACAACACTTCTTGAGTATAATAATGAAATTTCAAGCCATGGAGGTGAATTCAGACCAGAATGATTGGTGGTTCCGTTTGTGGGTCAAAATTCATCAACCATTTTAAAATCTTTATTGCTCTATTATTAATTCAGATTAATCTTCTAGCAAATAAGCTTGTGTAATTCTCATCATTATTTAGTTGAATGAGAATGTGTTTTCATCAAAAAGTCTAATTTTTCAGTCCCCAACAAGATTAATAAGCTCAAATTCCTTACGAATAAGCTCCATTTTGGGATGGTCAGAAAGAAATTTCCCGACCAAAATCAGACGACAAGAGAAAGCAAGCTGATTACATTCCACTTCCGTAAGAAAGATGACTGGTCCCATTCTTCCAATCAGGTTTTCCAATGGCCTCCGCCGACACAAACGACGAAGCACGATTTAGTAGTACCTGATGCGTGAACACCCGCAAGGGCAGCAGCATATGTTCTATCTGAAGCTATCACCAATAGAAGAAGATGCGGCATTAAGAACAGTGAAGGAAGTAGAGAGCAAATGATGAATCCAACACAAAGCAGCAAGGAGAGGAAAGCCTCTCTGGTTCAAGTACAGACAGTGGATGTCGTCGAAAGATCGTCCTTCGACGAGCAGAGTCGATGAGAACAACGAGGCATACACCGTAGCAGCAGACGAACTGCACGAACAACGATGACGACGAAAAGCGAAGGCGAAAGGCGAGACAGACAAAGTCGAAAGAAAGGCGAAACCGACGAAGAGCGCGAAACCCTTCTTCCTCGATTGTGAACAGAGCAAAAAACAAAGAAGATGCTCGAGTTCACCAGGAGGCAAAACTTTAGCAG